AGTAACAATAAGAATAAATAAAATTAGCATAAATTAATCTAGCGACGGGTGCGAAGCGCCCGTTCGCTAGTGTTGAAATGATTGTATTAAGTTCGTGTATTGAAAGTATTAAACGAAAGGCTGAGCACAGGCGGAATAGACCCCGCCATCGATGCATAATAAGCAGATAATAATTTGCCTTTTACTCCGAAATAAAAGCAAACAACCTATCCTCCAGGAAAATTGTAAACAAAGAATCATCATCAGATATTGCAAACAGCTGCAGTAAATCCACCGTTACCAATTATCTTCATTTCAACATTTGCTTTCCATTTCGCTTAAGTTTACATTGTTAACGAGATAATTATTATTTGTAACCTTGCACTGGAATTAATTAGCATGAACTAGCCAAGTTACGTGTGGGCGATTTTTTCAAGATGATTGATCAACATGCGAGCTGAATCTCGAGCGTTTCCACCAGTCACTTAATTAGCGCTTCGCAATGTGGATAGTTCTTTCGAGCGATATGCGATGAGACAACAATTAGACGTTTTCTTGGATTCATAAGATAATTGTTGCAATTCCGTGGTGAAACGCATATTCGAACATCATGAATAATAAAGGAAAAAAATAATCATGAGGGTCAGATAAGGGTCGAAGAATTGGAATTTCTCATTTCATCTATTTTCCTTCCGACAAGAAGAAATACGAGAGACAAATTGGCACCAGATAAACAGAAAACGAGTGATTAAAACTGGAAATTCCTCAGCGTATTTCGGACCACTCGAAAATAAAGCCCTTTTCTATTTGTTTTTCTTATAGAGTTTCTAGTACAATTTGAACTCCACTTCAAACCATGTCGGATCGGAGAAGTAGGAGAGCGATAATTAGTGCAGTTTATATTTTTAGTCAAGAGTTTACGAAGTGGTTCTTGTTGTGAAATAAATAACAATTGTAAATTGATTGAATCAAATATTGTGTGTCAGTGTAAAATCAGTGTTTCTGTCTATTAATTCAAACATTACCGCATTTGTGGAGCAGAGTGTTTTTTAGCACTCCACGGACAACCGACCTATCATCTGAACCATAAAACTTCCAAATTAGAACGTGGCAGAGGAAGGCAATTTCAAATGTTCCCAAAAATTAATTTTCGTAATAATCATACCGCGAGATGTCACTTCAATTCTTATCCCAACTCCCGCGAAAGTCAACTGCAAAAATTACATACTTCATACAGTGACAGAAGATTTTCTCGATAAGAAGATCTAATCAATTTGAGAAGCACCTCTAATCATTTATGATCATACGTCGATAGATATAATTATAAGTATCAAAAATAGGCAGCTTCACGTGTTACAATAGGAAAATATTATCAAGGGACGCAGTTGCATCCCATCGCCAAGAACGGGGGCGTAACTGCCTGTTATCTATGCCAGCCAACTTTCCTCTCCACGACCCCCAAAACAGTTTTTATTTTTTTCCGTACAAATTTCAAATCGCAGCACAATTTGAATTATACTTTTACTATATAATTTTGCTATAAGCCATCCATTGCAATTTTTATTACATTTTTCCATGCTAAAATGAATGAAATATGACGATCTAAAGAATTTCAGTGTGCGTCTTTTCTTCATTTTTCTCATCGTAAGACGTTCGAGGCAGATTTTAGTGGGAACGTTGGTACCATTGATTTCTACCTCGCGATCTCGTGAGGTGTTCGGAGTTGGCTGTGTTGCATGACTCAGTCTGACATTCAAAAGGGATTGGTGGATCGGACCCGCGTTTAGATACCACTCGACATAAACACCGGCGTCTTCTGTTAATTATACGTAATGATTCTCGTTCGATGAACAAAAATGTGTACTAAATAACCATCCTCCCAGGAAAGTGATGGGTGATAGTGGTGGAAAATTGTGAATATATTCATCGAGACCATGATTTTGATTAACATTAATTCTCGTTCGTGGGATAAGTTCTACTATAACAAAAATCTAACCTCTGAAGTAAAAATCCTTCTGCTATAATATTTCATGTGAAATAAAAAAAAACAATTTTTAACAACAAAAGGCCATAATCGAGACTAAGTTCTTAAATTTAACATAAATTGTAATATTGAAACTATACATTGATGAGATGGGTGCAATGAGTAAAAAAAATCGTTTAGAGGGAGAAAAACGATTGTCGTTTTGTGGCCTAAAATTATTCTCCGGTTTACGAAAAATTGTAAAATGGGTCAAATCTCCACGAAAAATTAGAAACAAGTTTTTTGCATAAAAAAATTCTGCAAAAAAAGTTCAATCCTTATTCGCTTTACAGTGATTTGTGAGATCGAAAGATGTATTCACAAAAATGTATAAAATCTTCTAAAAAAGACAAAAAAAATTGTAAAAAAAATCGCCAAGAACGGGTGTTGTTCCATTTACAAACATCAAGAATGCAGAAGTCACTGGCTTGTTTTTACAAAAATATGTGAAATCTACCAATAAAACAAAAGGTCTTTTGTAAAAAAAACACTCGCCAAAAACGGATGTGACCGTTGGTTTGTTTACAAAATTTGTGAAATCGGGCAAAAGCTGTAGTGCCAAGTACAGATTAATAAAGCTTAAAGATTATGACACAAATCATATAAAACTGAAGAAATAATGAAAATCATGAAAATGATATTTAAAATTTGAGATGATAAAAATTTCAAGTCAACCTACTTGGCGAGATTTTGTGTAGCTTTAATCGTGAGTCAAGTAGGTTGACTTGGAACTTTTATCGTCTCAAATTTTGAATATCATTTTCATGATTTTCATTATTTCTTCTGTTTTATATGACTTGTGTCATAATCTTTAAGCTTTCTTAATCTGTACTTGGCACTACAGCTTTTGCTCGATTTCACAAATTTTGTAAACCGACCAACGGTCGCATCCGTTCTTGGCGAGTGTTTTTTTACAAAAGACCTTTTGGTTTTTTAGGAGATCATCGTTTTCTCTCAAATTGAAATTGGATAGCAGTCGTTGGGTCACAGCTCCATTTTTTTTGAGGGATATAGATGGACCCGACCCCCACTTTGATTTGTGGATATTTTTTGTAGAAAAAGTGAAAGGAAAAAAATGTTTTTCTATGCTAAAATAATCTTCAACCCTAGATTGGTCACCCTATGAGGGAAAACCCGCCGCGTGCCGTTTTTCTTCAGTTACAATTGACTGGCTAACCAGAAAAATTACAAAAAATTTAACTTTGTCAATTGAAGTGTCTAAAAAATTATAGTAGTTTTTTAGAATAATATATTTTCCAAAATTCCTAAATAACAGTATATTTCGTCATTAGGCCGAAAAAACCTTTTCTGGCGAATATGAGGTTTGCAGCACGAGCCGAAGGCGAGGGCTGCAATCATATTCGTCAGAAAAGTTTTTTTTGGCCGTACGATGAACAATATTTTTTGTCATGACGAGAGCGTGAAACGCTGCCTTACGGCCGGAATGACAAAAAACAAATTATTTCAGACAGATGAATTATTTTTCCCAAGTTAAATGAAATTGCCCATGACGCGACGTTGCCGGAAACTCGCTAAACGCGCCCGGGCAGTGTAGGGTGAATTCGGCAACGCTAAAGCCTAAATGACACGGCGGCGAATCCCCGCGGAGGTGACCAAAGTCGCGGGGTCGCGTTTGGTGACCAGACTACGGTTGAAAGCAGTTCATTGAGAGTGGTCAGCCGATGGCTACCCCTTGGACTTACACCTCTGTCATCGGACGATGCTCATAGTGAGTCAAGTACCGCGTCCAGTTATGCCTCTCTCGCTTATGCGATTTATTTCTTTGTGAGTAATTTACTTGTTTCTCGCTCGTATTGTGCCTACGATCATTGCGTTAATTATTCAATGAGTTTACGATTTACGTGTCGTTTACAGTTATTATGCATTTTCTTATAATTATGCTGGTTACGTCATTGGTTTTCTAGCAATTATTTTGTAGGATAACTTTACGCTGGGATAAGCGGTACCTATTGGTCTGGCGATTGCACTTTGCAGGTACAGTGCGAGTTAGTTAGTTGTTTTAATAGATTAGAAGATTCTCGTCAAGTTCGTACGGTTGGAAATAGGAATTTTGTGCCGTTCTGGGAAGTAAAAACTCAAGGTTAAATATCGATGAGGGTAGGATACCGTATTCAGCGTATTTGATATCTCGTATGTATTTACTGCGTATGCACGTGTGAAAAAATTCAATAGACAACCTAGCGGATTTACTGGAAAATTATATTGGAATTCTATAGGAATTCTATGGGATTTCTAATGGAATTCTATTGAATTCGAGTGGATTTCCGGTACATATATTGCGTTCCGCCGCGCCTTGATCCGATTTTTTGGAGTTAATTAATTATGTTTAACCAGGGATTTAGTAGAAATTAATTTACACGTCGAGAAATGTTCAGTAAAAATTACGGAACTCACGATTCACTCATCGATTACGAAATCGACTCAGAAAATTTAAGTGATGTTATCGTAATTTTTCACAGGAGATTCAGATAAAAATTACGGAAAGCTCCGGAAAGATTCCGTGACAGTACCGTGAAATTTCCTACAACCACATTTCGCTCCGGACTTACGGAAAAGATACGTAATATTTATTGAATATTTCTCTGCGTGTAGTGAATATAAGAAATAATTATTTCTACCGATTTTGGTGTTATGTTGTCTACCCACTGTTTTCCTAGAAATTCTCTTCCAAAACCTGAGTCTATATGTAGTCTATATGTACTCGTGTGGGCCAGACTCCAGTGCAAAAATAACCCCTCACGATTTCTGTTCAAATTGGATCGATCTCTTTTCATTATTCCTATGATATTGCCCCCCCCCCCCCAATCAGAGCTCTCAATAATGAGCTTGTTGCGTAAGAAAATATTCAGAATTTGTTTTCCTCTAAGAATATCCTGATATCTCCTAGCCGAGCTCTGTACCACAACAACGGTAAGGATTAAATTGAAATAAAAGGATTAAACCCTTACGAGAATCAACTTTTATTGTACTCACTTACTTTTCACTATCTGTAAGGTTCCATCCGCTGAGCTCCGGAACCGTGCACCAGTGCTCATTCGGTACTAGTGTCAGGAAGAACTGTGTGAAGTAGAGGAACGCATAGACAAAGGTGAAGGGCAGAAGAATGAGGAACAAAATTAATTGATAAAGTCCAGCTTCCCCAACGTGGGGTAAAATATCGTCGAAAGTTTCGATCCTCATTTTTCCCTGGCCCTCCTCCGCTTTTGTCGACTCCACTGCCACTGTCATTGTTCAATGTTTTTTTTTCTGAAAACAAAAGAAAAATTAGTATTAGCTTGATTGAAGGAAGAGGTGACTAGGAGGAGCAGCAGCTATTTTATCTATATTGTTTCGGATGCGGAAGTTTTATAATTTATTATTATGAACGAATAGGCACAAATGCCCATGCACTCGCCGATCAAATTGGAATGGGAGAACATTGATTTCAATTTTAATACAAACTTGACTGTTGCAAGGGCTAGACGTTTTGAGACTTGAATGTCTTAAGGATTAAACGTTTTAAGAGTCAGGCCTTATACGGGTCAGATGTTTTGAGGTCGATCATCATATCTGAACTGCGTCTACTGATTGCAGTAGTCAACACTCAACGGGCTGGAGACATTGTTAACAATCGATTCTCGATTAAAAAGTACAAAAAAAATTTAATCTAGTGCAGAAAAATGAAAGCAATCGGATCAGCTGTGCCGAATACTATCGATAACAATCAAGATCACATATCTCTTTTACGAGATCGACCGTCATTCTACGATACTTTCGATATTGTATTAACGTCTCCCTTCGCTGAAATAGTTGATCAGGTATACGGCCTAATGGTATAATGTTCAAAGAGATGTCTTTGCCTCTGGTGTATCACTTATGACTTTCTGAATCTTTTGCAAGTCTTTGGTATAAGTTGAAGCCATCCACCGTCTCATGTTTATCAGCTGATCGTCCGGCTCCAAAATTTCAATAATTTCTAAAATCTTCCTACTTATCAGTGGTAAAGGAAAGACGTTTCTCATAACTTTTAGGCCTTGAAACTCAATCAAGAAGGGACATATGCACAACCGATCTTTTTTTCCAATTTATTGTCAAATAGATTTTACACGCACAATGTTTGCTGGAAAATAAATATTAAACATACATTTTTTTGTGTAAAAAATTCCAAATTTTTTGAAAAAAAGTATCTTTTGAGCTAGGATCTCAAATTCATAGCTAAAAATCCAGTTTGCAGTTTTCAAAATTGGTTTTTTTATCTTTTTTTGGTTTTAGTGCAGAAAATGTTAGGTGGAAATAGGTATTAACGAAAGTGGTTTTCGCCCATTAACAAACTAAGAAAGCATGAACTGAAGAGAAAAAATCAATTTTCACTCCCCCTAAAGGCGACTACACTCACGCTAAAACTGAACAAGCAGGGGTTCGAGCCCATCCGACAGAAGGCATGTGACCGTTACTTTTTGCATTATTAGTCCTTTTCTTTTTATTTCTACCAATTCCATTGGTAGTAAGCTTCCGAATGTATCCGTAGCAATTCCCTGTCCTTGTGATAGGTATACAACCGTAACCACATGCTACAGGATGTCTACAGGAAGATATTCAACCTTTTAATGAAATAGATTTGTACAAAAGGTTAAATATCTCCGAAACTGCTCGGCCGATTGCGCCTATCCAAAATACGAATCTTCAATACTGTAAGAGCTATAATCACACCAAATTTCAACTATTTTCATTTTTTCTCAACATATCGTGCGTACAAGAATGAAAAAATTTAAAAAACGAAAAAACGGGAATATCTCTGATTGTTTGTATGGACGGGTATACATATTTTGATTGATCTAGATGGTGGCCCAGACAAGTATTTTGAATAAAAAATTGAAATCCGTCCAGTAGTTCATGAGAAATTTGAAGAAATATATTTACGCAAAAGGTTGAATAACTCAAGAACCGCTCGGCCAATTGCCCCCATCCACAATACCAACCTTCTATGTCATAAATCTCCATTTTTTATCAAGTTATCGTGTAAACGAGACTTTTCATAAGAAAACGGAAAAACGGCAATATCTTCAAATTTTGCCTGAACGAGTATATATATTTTGATTGATCTAGATAGAGGCCATCGAGACTAGTATTTTGAAAAAAGAAATATTGAAATCGGTGGGGTAGATTTTGAGATATTGCGTAAAAACGAAATTTAAAGAAGTTATTATATCTCAGGAACTACTGAACCGATCGGGCTGGAACTGCGTACCAAAGTGAAGCTTAATCATAGCTACCATAAGCCAAAATTTTAGACTTTTTTCGACAAATTTCACCGTATTTATGTTGAATTATCTAAAAATTGATCACCAAAAACCCAAGTTATCACACACATACATACAAACAAATACAATTTCTTCACGTTTCATAACATTCTAGACCATTTGCCATCAAAATTAGAAAATCTAAAAATCGCTCAAATACAAGGCTTTCATTCGGAAGCAAAAAGGGATAAATAAATGGCGAAAAAAGATTTAGAAAAGGATAGGAATAATAAAAGAAAAGGAAGGACATCCGACAGAAGACATGTGACCGTTACTTCATCTGTTATTTGTCTTTTTTATTTTTCATTTCTACCAATTGCATTGGTAGTAGGCTTCCGAATGGATTCGTGGGAACTTCATTATTTGGATTGAAAATCGACAATTTCTATCAAATTTTATGATTTTAAGCAAGCTATACTCATCTACAAAGAGAAAAATAGTGCCTGATGATTCAAAAACCATCATTTCGTTTTTGCAATAATTTCGACCCATTATCACACTCACACCCTGTCCTTGTGACAGGCATCCATATTCGACAGGGTGTTTAGAAGAAGATATGCGATCTTCCGGTAAAATGAATTTATACACAAAATTTATTATCTCCAGAACCACTCGGCCGATTGCGCCCATCCAAAATATAAACCTTGCATATCATGAGAGCTATGATCATACCAATTTTCAAATTACTAATACCATTTTTCATCAAGTTATCATACGTACAAGGAGGAAATAGCAAAAAAAAAACAGAAAAACGGGAATATCTCTGAATCTTTGTACGGACGGGTGTATATATTTTTATTGATCTATATAGTGGCCACTGAAACGAGTATTTTGAAAAAGGGAAAATTGAAATCCGTGGAGGAGTTCTTGAGATACTTGACAAAACATATTTACACAAAAGGGCAAATATCTCAGGAACCGCAGGGCCGATTGCGCCGATCTAAAATAAAAACCTTTATCATTGTAAGAGTTAGTACCTAACCAAATTTCCAACGGCAATATTTCTGAAACTTTCTATGATCGGCGTATAAGTTTTGATTGGTCTGGATAGAGGTCATCGATCCGAGTATTTTGAAAAAAAAAAGTGTCAAATTGGTACAGTAGTTTCTGAGATATTGATGAAAAACGAAATTTAAACAACTTGATATATTTCAGGGTACTACCCGGGTAGAAATCACGCCGCTCGAGCTCGGCTCGGAACCCGCATCCCAGCTAGAAATACGCCACTCCGCCCCAGCTTGGGATAAACTCCACGCGCGTCACATGTACCCGAGGTTGAGCCGCGTCACTCGCTCACAGCCCAGCGTTAGACTATTACGCGAAACGATTCGCCGGGCTTTAGTTGAATGGCCACTGCTCAACCTCAGGTTCATCTCCAATTACTCGTCCCAATATACTTAAACTCAATAATGATTTGACAGGTCCGATGGCATCGTGATTTGAGCTAAAAAACAATCGAATAAATGTGAAGATGGCATGCTCTTTCAGATGAACAATCACAAGCTCATCAGAAATAACGTGATATTAACTAATCGAATGGGATTAATCTGAAAATACAAGGTAGAACAATTCACTGAAACGTAGTCAAAACTTT